TAATTCTGACCAGTTTTAAACGAAAATTTATCGACATAGACTTACCTCCACGCGGTGCACCCTGGACAACGTATATTAATACGACAAAAAAGTCTATTAACCGGCATTTGACTTCTGACTTCAGACTACCATGGCCCGACTGCTTGTCATATTTGACCCCTTTCACAGTACTCATCTCATTTTTTTCTACCTTTGTGTCTGTCTGTCTCTTTTACATCTGTGAATCGCTCTTCTGTTCCGCACCCTTCGACTTTCTTCTACTTTGATGAACCTTCCCTCTGTGAAGCCCGAAGTCAGCTAAGTGGCTAATGATAGCTATCAAAACGCCTGCCATTTGAAATGAATAAATAAACTTAAACATCGACAGGATTCTTTGCTCTTAGGCAAGCTTCGTTTTCCCTTATCCTCTTGACTGAAATTCGTTAAACCCCGTTGAAGAAATGAAAAGTGCCTAAAGACATCAGCTCTTTAAGATGCATCATATCATATTCTAGATGAATGTACGCATGGATTAATCCACGAACTCAATTTGAATGTTCATAGAGATGAGATTCGAGAAGAGAACATTTTATATACGTCAACTCAAAAAAACGGGCTTTGCGACGGAAAATTATATACAAAATAAAGTTCTCTCCTTTTCACAACAATTATGAAAGGGCATTGTTTGAAGAATATATATGATCAGACCAATTATATCTCTATTTGAGTACTCGGACAATTATGATTGGACGAGAAATTAAAGTGGACTTGAAAAAATTCTTCATTCCCGAAGTTGCATTATTATAGCAATGTTAGGGAACAACCAAGACCCCATTTCAAAGACTTTTTGGTACTGTATTCCAACAGTAGATTGGCCAGATGCAGTCGATGCACTCTGCCTTCTGTTCGAAGTCACAGGATTTGTTTTAAATATACTTACAATCGCCCTTCTTTTTCGAATCCGGCATGGGCCGACACATTGTATAATTATTCTTCGAACTCTTGCCATTCATTGTCTCCTCGTTTCCATTGTCAACTTTTTAGAAGACGTCAATCCAAACGGAGTTAAAACTGACAATTATGTCCTTGGTACTATAATATGCGTCTTTTGGAATGCTCGATTCTTCTATTGGATTTTCCTTGTTGCCTCTATTCAATGCATGACTATTTTCTCCATAGATAGAGTACTGACCCTCTATAAATCGGATCATCTTCGATATACAGGTGCTAAAAGGCGTATTGTTGTTTACGAGATCACTATTCATGTGTTTAGCTTATTTATCACCCTTCCCCAAATCCTAACGGTTAATCTGAACAATGGGGGCTGTGATTGCGCCCCAAACACCATAAATATTCCCTTTTTGGCAATCATCTATGCCCATGTATTCATCTGGTATGCCATGATTTTCCTAATTGACGGAGGGATTCTTCTATGCGCCGCTTATTTTACTGTGAAATGGATTCGTGAGACACCAAAGATGGAGCAGTTTGATGACTTGAATGAACTCAGTTTTGACGTGATTAGAGAGCACGAACATAATTATGAGAGGTACGTGGGAAAAGGATATGCGACTGCTTCGATGTGTGTTGTGCCACTGGCCGTAAGTCACATAATCACCTTCTCCTATGACTCAACTTACCAATTCGCGAGCGCTTTGGGTTTGACTACCTTCATCATTAACAGCGTTCCTCAGAGAATTGGCGGTCTCTTTCTTATCATCCAAGCCAACGTCATACCCGCTATTTTACTATTCTACTTACCTCCTCTAAGGGATTTTACTATCACACGTATTCTTGCTCCACTTCATATTGTTCAGAAGCAAAAGCAATAAATGTGTTTTTTTCTAATGATGGAAATAAAACCACCTAAAAACTATCTCGATTATCTGACTCTAAATTTCAACTGATTTCTGAGCTGGATTTAATAAGATTTGATTTGCCTCCATTAAAAAGTACCCTAATTAGTCACACTGATACAATAATTGAAAATTGTTTGAACTCGTTATAGTTCGATGAGAATTTGATGTACCGGGGTCAAACAGAGGTTGTGAATGAAGTCACGATTTCGTTTTTTCTGTTTTTGAACCCATCTGTTTGCTTAATAGGTGTTATATGATTATTATTCTGTTCAAAAGCCATAAAGGTAAGTGGTGCTCATTAGCTCTCATGCGCATTTTGCTCCACGAATGCAGAACTTCATTAACAAATTTACCTATTCATACGTTCGTCTTACTACTTCAATACAGATTTTCTTCTTGCATTGTTAGTGCATCAATGAGGGATGAGGGACGTTAAATTGCAGTTTTCCCATCTGGAATATTTGATTTCACCAGCGTGATTGTTGGAAAATGGGACTTGAATTTCCTCAATTATGAATGAGCTTTAATAAGCTCTAGTGACTCATCCACGGGGCATATTGTTCATTTTCGATTAGATCCAGATTGTTTCTTTCAAGAACTTCTGAGAAAATATTCTCGTTCCGTTCTAAGTCATCTTTCATCACATCATTTTTCATAAATCTTAGAATCGGTTAAGTTTCATTAGCTTTTTCACCTAAATGAGGATCATAAACTGATATGGCACTAATTAGGACCACAAGGCTTGCTAGACACAATAAGGCCGTGCTCAAACCCACCAATTTTCTGCTTGTTTTATTTCGCAAAAATAAGTTTAGCTGCCTTCATGGATTGACATGTTCTGATCTTAAAAAGATCATTTTATCGATGAACGCGATTCACAGCAACCACTTAATGCAGATGCTTAGATCGTCTTGGGTGATCCGAAATTTCATGCCACAACGATTTTATATCGTTGGTAGTTAGCTAACAGAAAGTAAAGTAAATAATGAAGAATGAAGGCAAGAAAGTATGGAAAACCAAATGTGGGTACCGGAAGGTCTTACTTCACTTGATATCTGAACTCCACTTTCATAGTAGATATGGAATCTGCAGTTCGCATTCCAAGATTCAAATTTCTCAGTTGCTCATCTAACTTATTGAGAAAGTTCTTGTCCATGATACCCGGTGTTTGTCGAGCGGTCATTAACTTTAAAAAGTTGGTTTTACCACTTCAATTCATTCCTCTTCTAAATATCTAGAACTTGCACATTATTAAGCAGCTCACTTTTACCTTGAGCACACTTGGTTTTGCTCAATCAATAGCAAACATCGAAATTTACCTTCGTGAGCCAGTTAGGGGTTCAGTGTGCATTTGAGCAATAGGCTCTTGAACTTCCATTTTAAATCATTCATTTTATTTAAACATTAATTTTTGTTTGTTAGTTGCCCCGTAATTAACCATGCTTTTCACTTTATAAATAAATGCATTGGCGATTATTATCAAACGGGGAGTTTCGCCTATTTTGTCTCCTCGTTCGGCATTTAAACGCCCATAGTTAGATTAGTTTTAGAATAATTAAAAAGGAGTAATTTGGATACCCAAAATTATTGTTAGTAATTTTCAAGCTTATGTAAGTTTTTGATCATTTTACTGAAAAATCTTATGTCATTGGTTAAAAACACAATGGAATTCGATGCAAGTGTTCAGCAAAAATTGTACATGTCAAAATTATTATTAATGAATATTAAGGCACACAAGCATAATGCTTGTGTTATTGCTTAAGTATTTGCGTGTTTAAATTGTACAAAAACATCGACATAGGAGAGAAGTGAAGTATTTCACTGGGGAATAAAAAGTAAGGTGACCAAGAAACGGTAGGTCCCAAAGTCAAAACATCAAGCATCTTGCATTGTACTCATGCACCTGATCATGCTTCCTCACAGTTCTTATAGGGGATATAGCTCTCCTAACGCTCAGATTTTCAGGGAGATGGCTGAGATTGCGTCCACAATAATTGTAACTGGAGGACTGGTCACACCACCTCAATCTCCCTACGGCAAGGGTCAGCAAATGTGCTCAAGTTGAGTGGTCTAATTAGGGTCCACTTAATGCTGACCCATTTAATTATGGCCACTATCTTTATTCTAAAATGTATTTATTTATTTCAAATAGCAGGCGTTTTGATAGATATCATTAGCCATTTGGCTGACTTCGGGCTTCACAGAGGGAAGGTTCATCAAAGTAGCAGAAAGTCGAGGGGTGGGGAACAGAAGAGCGATTCACAGATTTAGAAGAGACAGACAGACACAAAGGTAAAGAAAGGGTGAGGTGAGTATTGTGAAGTGGTGAAATATGACATACAGTAGGGTCATGGTAGTTTGAAGTCAGAAGTCAACTGCCGGTTAATAGACTTTTTTGCCGTTTATCCACTCTGGGCGGATTTTCGGAGAAAAAACCGGTATTATCATTATGAATTTCCATTTAGACGTTCTAATTATTCGAATGCATTTAATCAAATCGAACATCGAATTCCTGAAGTATTTTTATTTCTTAAGAGGTATAGCTCATTATTTCATGTTTCGTGTTCGTCTCCATCGATTTGGGGGGTAAAAGTTAATGCCCGGGATGTTCGGAGCTGTTTAACTCGTGCTTTAATGGAATGGCTGATCCATTCCATGTTGCATTACGGTTTTCTCCTGGATGTAGTATCCACGAAGTTCTCAACAGAGCAGAGTGCAATACGAAGCATGCTCACTTTGTCAATTCCGGTTGACAATTCTCATGGTTTAATCCTAGTGTATTTAGATGATTGTCATATGTTTGGCTGTTATTTAAACCACCTTCAGAGTTATCAGTCTTAAGGGTTCAGGCACCACTCGCTGAGTAGTGGTGTTCGAGAAAGGTGAGAAACTATTGACACATCTGGTCTCCTACTCATATTGTCAAATGAATTCCTGTGGGAGTAAACTAAGTGTTTGAGTGTCTATTAAATTTATCGTTTGTATCTAGTTCACGTTAAGTAAACTTGAAATAGAACAATGTAAACAATGCCAATTGTCATTCGCTTAATGTTTTATTTCTTGCCGATTCGACAGGATTTTAATCGACTATTGGCCTTCGTGTTTTGTTTCCTACTGGTCAATCTGAATCCAAATGTCCAAATGAAGTCACTTTCCCCCAATGAAAAATAAAATTCTGATAGTTATCATTAGCCCTTTAGTTGACTTCAGGCCTCACAGAGGAGAAGAAATATCAAAGTGAAAAAATTCGAGAGGTGGGGGGGAAAGAGGGACATCAAATCGAAAAAAGTCTAGAGGGGGGGGGTGCAACAGAAGAGTGTTTCAAAGATGTAAGAGACAAACACAAAGGTGGAAAACATCAAAGTGAAAAAAGTCGAGAGGGGGAGGGGGGGGGAACAAAAGAGTGTTTCAAAGATGTAAAAGAGACAGACACAAAGTTTGAAGAGTGTTTCAAAGATGTAAAAGAGACAGACACAAAGGTAAAGGTGAGATGAATACTGTAGAGAGACAATGGTAGAAAAAAGGTGAGGTGAGTACTGGAAGAGACAAACACAAAGATAGAACAAAGGTGAGGTGAATACTGTAGAGAGACAATGGTAGAAAAAAGGTGAGGTGTGTACTGTGAAAGGGGTCGAATATGACATACAGTGGGGTCATGGTAGTTTAAACAGACACAAAGGTAGAACAAAGGTGAGGTGAGTACTGTGTTACACGAAGGTAGAGAAAAAGGTGAGGTGAGTACTGTGGAAGTAGTCGAATATGGCATAGAGTGAGGTGATGGTAGTTTGAAGCCAGAAGTCAAATACCGGTTAATAGACTTTTTTGCCGTATGAGTATATGTTTATAACTGGCACTTGTCTACTAATAAGTAACCAATAGCTTTCTGGAGTTTTGGGAGCACTTTTGCATTCCTCCTGCGATTTATCGGTTAATCTCACGCGAATTGCGTTTCTATTTTAATCTGCGTTGAATGCATTAGATGTAGTTGTCTACCTTCTATTATTATCCATTTATATATCTCTTGCGATTATTTCTCGCACAAAAAACCTTTGTTGTCATTGGCATTGGTTATTTTTTCTAAAGCAAGAAGTAATCGAATATATGTGATTAATCCACTCGCTTCTCCCTTAGCCGAAAGGATTGAATCTAGACGTAACGTGGTGCGTGAGTCACACGATCTTCACAGCATTCACATTCCTTCTAATTCACTGTAATTACCTTCTACCATCCGCTTACCTTGATCTCTTGCATCGCTGCGCTCTTCATCTTGGCTGCTGGCAGGAGCAATCTCCTTCCTCCCATTCGGGTTACCTCAATTGGCACGCTTGGTCTTTACTACAGGTTTGTGTCTACTGAAATGCAATTTAGTAGTTAATAACTTGGTCTTTAAATTTTACTATTGGATTCATGGAGTCTATTGAACTTCGCACATTTGCAGTATTAAGTCTTTTGGGTCAAATTTTATTATTTACGGTCCAATTCAATGATGCAAGCTGCCGGTTTTGTGGCTTTTATTTATCAGTATCTAATAGCTTACGTTTTATCACATTCATCTGTCAATATTCAAAATAATTTCCTGCCTATTGTTATCTACTTTAAAGTAGTAGTGGGCTTCACGAATTGACGGGTTAGTTGTGGACCTGGAGTAGTTTAATTCGAGTACGTGGCGAAATTAAATATAACTGTTTGAGGCAGTTAGAGAATCGTTTTCCTTACCGCATGCAATTCTAAACCATTTTTTGTTTTAAAAATTGCCTTATTTGAATGCTTGCATAAATGCAATTACGTTAACGCCTGTACCTTTCAAATAGTTGGCTCTAACGCTCCCTTCCATTCATTCCCTCTCAGAGCCTTTATTTTCCCCCTTCTAATTTCAACTGACTTCATCTTTCTCCAATACGATTTGGTCCTCTCCCAATTCTTGGCCCTCTGATTTATGATTTGCATTTGTCTGTCGTTAACCACGGGCTCTAAGCAATCTTACTCCCAAAATCTGCCTCCCAGTATTTAAAATGACAAAATTGCTTTTAAGTCTATTGAAGAATTTTTTTCAAATCAACCTAAAAGTACAAAGGCAAAGTAGTGCGCAAAATGTCATTTGGTTTTTTTCTAGACCTACCCAAAAGGTATCCACGTAAAGCACGTTCGAGGCCTATTTGAGTCCGTGGGCGGTTCCAATGCCGCTGAGCCTGGTAATTCTACTCATTTCAGATTTTACGTAAGTCTGCATTCATAATTTTTTGCAGCCAATACTACTTATATGTTATCAGCTTCCTCTGTATTTTTCCTTTAGTACTGGTTTTCTTCTCCATTGACGGTTATGAACGCGCTCTGTTATATAGCTGTGACTGTATCCCTGTCTCAATTATTCGCTCTAGAGGTGATATTTGAATGGAGTAAACTGATTAATTTGGCAGCAATTAGTCCGTTTTCACTCCTGAATCTATATCGTATGCTGAGGAATAGAACGGTGCTGACTTGGATTTGGAATGGGGAAGGTTCCTCCTCCTCCTCCTCATGAGTCCACCACTGAAAACGCCCCCAATTCAAGCTACAAATGCTGTGAACGCCATTAAATCTTAACTTATTTTGTATTTTTTACTGATTGTGTTTGGCAACCATTTACTTTGAGCCGTTTTACCATCTCTCTCTCCTATCTTTATTATTTCATTAGCTGGATACAGCTTTTTGAGTTTGATAGTCGCAATAATAATGGTGATACATTGGCGTGTCTGGCGTTACCTGGGGGGGGGAGTGTTTCCTGTTTATTGCCTTTTCATGATTAGACCTTTCTTTCACAAAATTACGTGACTTGTCAAATTCTGGTTATCTACTTACTTCCGGGTTAAGAACACCCAAGCTCGCACTTGTTAATTCGTTTATGGGTTAGTACTGTCATTGGTCAGTTCTGATGTGTGGAGCCTCAATGACACTGGTGGGTGACAACACAACGCTAACAAAATTTAATTTAAAACACCAATGATGTGCCCAAAATTTGTAAAAAAGCTTGCGTTTATAGATAGCCCATGAGAGATAGCAAAATTGGTCGCCCAAGGTAGGAATCCTACAAGGAATTGTGTATGCGTTTATTGCGGTAAATATACCCTTAACTCAAGCAACAGCTATAATCAGAATTCAAGTAATTCTAGGGGGGGGGGGAGGCGCTGGTAGAGAGAACAGCATGTGATTAAGCGAGTACTAAATCACTAAATAATCCTTTTTATTAGCAGCATCCTGTCTTAAATTTGGGGAGGGGGGGGGGGTAAAATGTGTTTCTTAAGGTACAAACGTACCTACTCCCGCCAGAAGTGGATGCATTTTTAATTCGCTGCTAGTTGTTGAAAGTGATTCTCGGATGACGCAAAGGCCATCTTTGATTGCATTTAATTTAAATTGATCGAAAGAATTAATGTCATTTCTAAGAGAAATGGTAAGGTAAAGGAGGGATGGAAAATAAATGGGCGCTAAGTGGTAGATCTCAAAAGTTGCGGAAATTAAAGAATTTTCTTTGAGAAGAAAAAGAAGAAGGTATTAGCTATTCCCTTTTTTCATAAATTACAATATGGCTATCGTTAAATTGACCCCTATTAACCTCTGGAGTTCCCTTCTTTTTTAAACTTGACAATGTGACAACCATTTAGCGCGTTGCACTATGTACTTGGTGAGGGGTGTGCGATAGACTTACCACCACGTGGTGCACCCTGGGCAACGTATACTCATACGCAAAAAAGTCTATTGATCGGCAGTTGACTTCTGACTTCAAACTGCCATGACCCCACTGTATGTCATATTTGACAGTTATCACCTCACTTTTTTTCTACCTTCGTCTTTCAAACACTCTTCTGTTCCCCCCCCCTCCCGACTTTTTTTTCACTTTGATGTTCCTTCCCTCTGTGAAGCCTGAAGTCAACTAAAGGGCTAATGATAACCATTAAAACGCCTGCCATTTGATATGATAATAATGTACTTGGNAAGTTGAGTGGTCTAATTAGGGTCCACTTAATGCTGACCCATTTAATTATGGCCACTATCTTTATTCTAAAATGTATTTATTTATTTCAAATAGCAGGCGTTTTGATAGATATCATTAGCCATTTGGCTGACTTCGGGCTTCACAGAGGGAAGGTTCATCAAAGTAGCAGAAAGTCGAGGGGGGGGGGGGAACAGAAGAGCGATTCACAAATGTAAAGGTGAGTACTGTAAAGGGGCCGAATATGACAACAAGGGGGTCGTGTTAGTTTGAAGTCAGAAGTCAAATGCCGGTTAATAGACTTTTTTGCCGTATGAGTATACGTTGCCCAGGGTGCACCACGTGGGGGTAAGTCTATCGCGCATCCCATTCTTGAAAATTAAAATTTGAAATGGGAAAAACAGAGAAGATGTAATAAAGCTGAAAACCGGATGAAATTGGGGGCAAATTTAGTACATAAAGGGTCGTAGTAAGTATTCTTTTACTTTGTGATAGCCCAGTTGTCACTTCCATCGTTTTAATCCCAGATTCATGGATGAAATTAAATTATGGAATATTCTCTTCCTCCATCTGAAGTTATTTGTAATTTTTTAGCTAGCAAAATGTCCCGTGTGGAAGATTTACAATATTATGGCTTACATTTATTGTAGTTCAATGCGTAATTGTTAGCGCTTTTTACTTTTTGGTGATTAAGTAGAAGATTGCTACGCTAATAAGTCTTAACTTAAGCTCAGCAACCTCCATGACAAGTCCTCCTAGTTTGGAATGGTCCCCAGAAGTAACTGATGAATGGCGTACAATAAGTTTATTGGACTGTGTGTCATTGACACAGAGCTTAGTCATTATAGTGCAATTGGAGGTTTGTTAAACAATGCAGGGACTATTGATTGGTGACTGACGGAGGGTCTCTGCCCTCAAGACCACACTTGCTCCCTAAGGGGCAAGTATCGCGGCTGCATTCTCGGGTCTGTTCGAGTGTGCAAGAGATTTCTTCGTGCACAATTATTACTGCTAAATAAAATCTGAGGACATCTGAGCGTACTTGATTGAAACTTAATTGTACCAAGTTTTGATTGCTTCTTTCAAGCTTACTAAAAGAGATCGGTGTACAAAATTAAACGTAACTTTTCATGATTTCAAAATATAAATTCGAGACATTATATGAAATACACCATTATCATTAAAAGTATCTTCTCAAACTAGTCTAATATCTGAAATCAGGAATGCTCAATGGCAAATTTGAACTGAATTACAAATTGAATTCGAAGAAAATTTCGTACTTTTCAGGATTTTTTTCTGCCGTTGCAGAGTTTAGACTGCGTACTAGACACCTTCATAGAATAGGAGTACTCGCCCACCCAACTAGCTCCCTATGTGACCTACAGGAGGAAATGGAGCATACCCACCAAATTCGATGTCCAGCCCTACAAACAACAATAGAAACTCAGAGATACCGGGAAGCAAGAATTCAACTAATGGGCTAATGTCAACTAGCCTAAAGCTCAAAATATAGGATATCCCAAAAAATGTATACACATTGAAACTAATTGCAAACGTGGGGTTCAATTAGAACTTCATTATTTCTAAAGCGTAAAAATATTTTACAAGTATGATTTTATTGTTTTGCATTGCTTGTTCCCAACAGACCTCCGGACGTGGTCTTCCGGAAAGCTATTTGGGAACATTCTCAGTAGTTTCATCAGCTTCAAGCTTATCTCTAATTCGAAAGGTGGTAACTCACATTGAAGGTATGTTTTTGAAATTCCTTCCTAAATTGTCTTTGCACTTCAACTGCATTTTTATACTTCCAGTAGTGCTTTAGAATAAATTTTCTTTCTTCAAAGCTAAATCTGGCTGTCATTCTTGTTCAGAGGCTGAATCTACAAATAAACACAAACAGTTAAGTTATGGACTATTTAAAATAATTTAAAACGTAGTAAAAAACTAAATGATATGTGTAAATACTTTAACCCATTTGAAACAATGAAACAATAATAATAAACCAAATTTTACGATTATTTTAATTGTGTATGCATTTTTTGGCACGCCCTCTATGTGTTCCTCTATGAAGTCCAAAGTCAACTAAGGGCCTAATGGTAAATACCATAAAACCTGCCCTTTGGAAAAAAAAGATTTTTCTCCATAATGCCATATAAAAGTATAACTATCAAAATTACCATTTTACCGAACCCGTTTAAAAAAAGTAAGAGTATCAAATTGACTACGAGGAAAAAATACTGTCTGGGTTTTCCGAAAGTCCGCCCAACCCAACAGGCGCCCAATGGAAGGAGAAGGGAACGATGGTCACTAGGGGAAGGAAGTGTTAAGAAAAATGGAGATGAATTTAAGGAGATTGGAAGCACAAGCACAAGTGACTGATGCTTGAAATATTCGTCCTGAAATCAGCGTGTGTGGATTAGGCAAACCAAATGTTTGATTACCTCCTATAATCGATATTCCGCAACTGAAATTTCGCCAAATGGGTGACAAAATGCTGCTATTGTAATTAGTTTAAGTCACCTTATAACAACCTTCAGATATATTGAATGCATAGTCCATCAGACCAGAGAATAATCATAAATAATAACGATGAGCTATTTTGTAAATTGTTAAAATACCCTAATAAGAGCTTTAGTGTTAGAAGAGAATTAACTGATTTGTGAAATGCATATTAATGAGGTAAATTTAAAGATTTATTGAAACAAAGGTCTAATCGCACTCAAATATATAATCTGAATAAACTACTAGACCAATAATAAAATAAGTCCAGGATTTGCAATGAAAATTTTTTAACGTAGCTTTTCCGTGTCCCTAGTAAATGATTTACTTTCTCCCAAAAAGATTACCTCACGTTGGAGTATTCTTATGCTCACATATCATGGACATTACTTGATAAATTATATAATATCGAAACTATAATGTAATCCCTTTACAATTATTAAGAACGACGGAACCTTCTATTTTTCAAAGATGATCTATTCAACCCAATTATAACCTAATTTACTTATAACCTGGAAAGTACGCTTAATACCATAACAAACAAAGTATTCGATGCATTTTCGACTTTTTCAATTTAATATCTGATATTTTAGCATTGTTGTCATTAAAAAGATTCTCAACGTTAGGCAAATATATTCATACAATTGCTAAAAATCCTAAAAGAAATGTGATTTCCTCGTCAAAACTTTACATTCTCTGATTGGTTGGTATATCGTTTAGTCGCAATTGCTTGCCTTTCTTCATCTATCAGTTATACCTGCCCAAGTTTTGGGGAAATTGTCCATTTTGACAAATGTTGGTCAAGCGCTCAGGTGCAAATTCGGTGAATTCCGAAACATTCTGGAAGTGTGTTTCGCAAGCCGACTGGCCGGACTTCATCGATATCACATCCATCGTTCTCGAAATAACTGCCATTATTCTAAATGCCATCACAGGATATCTTCTCTTACAGATCAAAGAAGGCAACCTGATAATCATTTTTCTACTTCGAACTGTCATTTTCAATAGTATCATCGATGCTACCATCAAACTTATCAAAGATCTAACCCCTATCAAATCTGAATTAGGCGACGTTGCACTGAATTACTTCCTCTGTGTTGTATGGGACTCCAGATTTCTCTTTTGGCTATTCAATACCTTCTCTGTTACTGGTCTTACTCTCTTCTCTGTAGATAGAGCCTTGACTCTATTAAATAAAGATTCACTTCGACTTGTGTCAGCTGAATCTCGTCTGCGAACTTACCAAATATCTATTTATCTCTATGGTCTCTTGCTAACAATTCCACAGTTTATTTCAGTCAATTTGGAGAATGGAACCTGCGCTTGCGCTCCTACAACTGTGAATGTTCCAGTTTTAGCAATTCTCTATGCTCATGTCTTCATTCGGTACGTCCTGTTAGTTATTCTAAATGGAGGCACCCTATGTGTGTGTGCGGGTGTGGTCATAAAATGGATCAAACAGACACCCGTCAAACATCAGGTCGATGAACTCAACGCTCTTCATTTTGACATCCCATCATCTGCTGAATTAAAACGTCTGGAAGCGTCACATGGTTGGAAGACACCTTCGCTATGCATCCTTCCAATATCAATATTCTATGTCACGAACGTTGGTTTCGATGCTGGTTATCAATTCATTAGCGGAGTTGGTCTGACAACATATGTGATTGGTGGAAAGTTTCAACGATTTGGGACATTACTGTTGGTAGTTTTCTCAAATATTGTTCCTCTTACTCTGTTGCTTACATTGCCGGTATTTCGCTTCTGGTTGAGGGATAAATTTGCTTTCTTGAATTGTTGCAAACGTAAAAAAATCCCTAAATGAATTATTCTTTTAAGCTCTTTCGTTATGAAGATACTGTTCTGTTGAATATGTACTCTTAAACTATTATTATATCTTCCGAAAGGTAAAATTTGGTTTTAACTCCTGCTAACGAAAATATCTCTGAAATAACTACAAGTCATCTAAATGTTCTCTTCTGAAAAGGGCTGATTTTCTCCACTTTGAAGCGTCACGTGTATATCAATGATTCAAAGATTAGGTTTATGATGCTCTGCTAACTCACAATTGCGGCTTTTTACCTATGTTCTGTCGATGGTGACAGATGTGGATTATTTGGCATTAGCAGAAAAAAGGGTTGACATGGTAGACTAGCATGTGCTGTAACCCATGGGACGAACTATGGCACTTGGACTTAAGAATGTGTGAGCCGCGCAATTATTATATGCTGTGCAACACGAATCCAATAACCAAGCATTTATTACCTTGGCGTTCCTCCCATTGTCTCTGTTGTCTCTGTATGTTAACCCATTGTAGTTGTTCCCCATAGTTTCAACCTGTAGAGACTTTGTGTTATTGTGGGTAATTTTTAAAAATACTCCCATAACTAAAACAAACAAGTAATTGAAAGTGGATGTTCTTTAGGTAAACGGTACTCCAAAATGAATGGATTAAATGGTGGACTGCGAAAAATTTGCCCTTCGCAAGATTTACTTTAAAAGGTGCTTAATCTTGCTTCTTTATCTTAGCAGCAGACTTACTGGGAAAAGCCTAATAATTCAAAGTACAACGCATCCCCTTATAAAATAGTGATCTATCTTAGGGTTAGTGGAGTACAGATTTGTGTAAAACCATGGGTGCAATAACCTTATCAGCCTCGCAAAATAGTCACCATTCTCTGAATTAAATAGTGACACGAGATTTAACAATACTTTATCTGATTTCCTCAATTAGCGCCCCCCAACAACTCACACTTTTCACTAAATCTAACAATTGCATAAAATTTGCAGACAATTATTAGCAAATTTAATGAACATGTAAAACTATAACTCTAATTTCATTTGGAACACTATTCCATTCTTTTCAATAACACCCGGCTAAAACTGTCACCATAACATTTGGAGTTGCATCCACCTCGAGCCCTACTGAGGTCTTCCTGAATCATTCTGAAAGGTCGACCTAATTGACTGCTGGCTTGGATTACGGGCGTTCCATTATTTTTAATCTATGAGATTTCCAAAACGTCAAAAATGCTATTTAGCTGTCTCGTTGGTTTAGTTGAGTTCGGACAACTGAAATGTTTCCGACGGCGTACCCAAGTTTGGCTATCCGCGTTTCACATTGCATCACCCTGCTAAGCTTCGACGAAAATTACTGCTCATGTTCCATTCAGTCGGTGATTTTGCTTGTAAAGTGCTGTACCAGTTTCAAGTCCCCTTGACGCATGAAGGTAGACTAAAGGGGGTTGAGTTCTTTAATAGCTAATAGTTACAAATCGTCCTAAAGTTACTCCTCTTAAGAGTTCCTGCAGGACTGTGGTCGTTTAGTACTATTAGGTTGGCAACTAAGTCATTGCCGATTTCAAATAAGAAGGCAAATTCGGAATTTTTGTTTAAAAATATAACTTTATTCAATTAGATATTAGCCGTTCTTGTCGATGACCTTTTCCATCGTTCTGGCAGAGTAAAAATTCCCCGTTCGTAAAATGTCTGGTCTTTGCTATTAAAAAACTGAATTAGGTGTGATCCGACATCATCCGCGTTGTTAACAATTTTACCATTTAAAGAGTTTTGCATGGAACGAAACAAATGGTAATCCGAAGGCGCAAGGTGAGGGCTATATGGTGGGTGTGACAAAACATCCCAACCCAGTTCCAATCATTTTTGCCGAGTAACCAAAGATGTGTGGGGCCTTGCGTTATCATGATGGTAAACAACACCCTTCCGATTTGATAATGCCGGCCGCTTATCTTCAATTGCATCCTTCAGTTTTTCCAGTTGTTCTACATACACATTTGAATTTATCGTTTGGTTCTGCGGCATGAGTTCAAAATACAAAATTCCTTTGTGATCCCACCAGACTGACAGCATAATCTTTTTTTGGTGAATCTCTGCTTTTCATACTGTTTGGGCTGGTTGATCTTGCTTCACTCATGATCTCTTGCGAGTAACATTNCCAGTAACTAGGTTCTTCCTCGGAAATGGATCATTCTCATTGCGTTTCAGTAGCGGCGAATCACAGATGCTAATCCGTTGCGTCAAATGAATTTCCTTTAACTGGTGAGGGATCCATAAATCAGGTTTCTTGACATAACCAACGGTTTTTCATTTTTTTTCAATGCATGTATGCGACACATTGAGCTTCTCTGCAATATCTCGTGTTGTGCTGTGACGATTTGAATCGATAATGGCCTTGACATGGGTTTCATCCACTTCGACTGGGCGGCCAGATCGTTGTGAATTTTTCAGTGAAAAATCACCGGAACGAAATCTTTCAAACCAATTTCGACACTGCCTTTCTTTTAAGGCTTCATCTCCATATACGGCACATAACTTCTTTTGTGCTTGCGATGCGTTCTTGCCTTTTCGGAAGTAATACAATAAAATGTGTCGGAAGTGCACGTCCTGTTCTTTCATTTTTAAATTGGGATAAAAACGAAACTAAAGAACTAAACAAAAAAAATTTTTTACTAATTAACCTAGAAGCCCATACAGTAAGAAAAAAATATAGGTTAGATGCTCTGGCCACGTTAACAAAACAAAAGAAAGTATAGAGTGAATTCGTCAACAAAAACGACAATGACTTAGTTGCCAACCCAATACTTCCGGCGTTGTATGATACATTAAAGCAAAAAAATCTGTTCTGTTGCCGCCTACGCACCTGACTTATAAAGTGATCCCTTTAAGGTGATCATGAATCGCTCCACCCGACTATTTTATCAAAGTGGTATGGTGGAGAGTAAATTCATGAGATTTTATGTCTCCTGCAAAATAGTGAAATAGAATAGAAAATAACTAGGTGTCGTTATCTGACACATTGGGGCTAATAATAGATAACGAAGACTACCGATCAGCATATTTGTTACTGTGAGCTTTCATTATGTCATTTCTGGCCCTTTTTAAGCACGAATTTACAAGGACACGATATGAGAAGCCATTGACGGGTTCAGATAAGTTTCAATGTAACTTGGGTGATGCAGGTGATATGTGAGAACCTTGGAAGCTTGCTGACATTAAAAGCATCTATGGAAAACTGCTTCACTCTACCTCTCTATTCAATTTCAATATGTAAAAATTCTCATCGCCAATAAATTTGTAGGAGATCACCAGTTTAATCAGTCCTAAATCCTAAAATATTGGTATAGGTCACGGTGAGTGCTGACAGCCTGTAACTCTATTGGTTCGATGTTATTTCGACTTTCAAAGAAGCACCTTCTGAATCAGTCTCCTCAACGCATTCTAGACTGTATAAATGTAAAAATAATGCTCAATTTCGGCATTTAGACAAGTGAAATAGTCAAAGCACAACCAGTTTATTTCATTTGATTTCCGAACATAAACAGTAGGTGCAACCACTTTCAAAAGGAATCGTGTCTTAGACGGAGTCTTTGTTCCAAACGTTTAAGCTCTTTGCCCAATAAGGGCCGAGCAGTTGCCATCTATTTTGATGTCTTTATGCCTATATCAATCAGGATTATTTAGAAGCAGCACAAGGAGATGTTGTGTTACCGTCTTTGGTGTGAACGAAGTGATGGAAGTAGCAGAACTCACTTGATTCCATATGAAATTGATAGGACTCGAATGCTCTTCAAACTGTTCGGAGTGATGATTTGAAGCAGATATTTTTTCCCACTTGTGCCACAATCAATGAGAACTGACCACTTATTATTATTCATGGAAGGTTTTATCTTTATTATTATTTTTAGCAGGCATGTTCTAAGTGGTAGTCAAGACTTCGTTTGAAGTCCATAGATGAAAATGGAACACGTGAAGGATTCTTCTGTTAAGACGTCAAAAGCAAAATTTTTCGTAATAAAAGTTTGCAATACCTGCAAATTCATCTGAGTTCTCAACTTGCTCAATCAAAAATTTGGAGCTGTTAAAGCGGACGTTGAAGCAAAAGAATTTCTTCCAAAATCTTCCTCCACGACCTCCACAGTCCCATAGTAGCTGAATTCAGTGAATTGATTAGATAGAATGAATTTTGAGATATGTTTAAATAAGGATGGACCCAGCTTACTGATGAAGCAACGAACTCATCCAATTCGGTTAAATTCACTTTGAAAACATATTGCCTTTATAGTACTGTGTTTCATATAATATGCCTGATTTAGGATCCTGAATTAACTCACTAACATTTTGTGACATCTTCAACATCTGCAGGATCTGAAATTTCAATGGACACGAGAGGTTTATAAATGTATATCGAAAGAACAGAGGAAAGTTATAGTAGAAACTTTCAAATACTTGCAACTTTGAAATTTACTGAAAGAGCTCATAATTCTGTTGGTAGACTTTTCGATACCTCTAACAATTGCGAAAAATCCAGTGGGTGTTAAGGGTGTATTGGACACTGCTCAGATAAATCTTAGGTAAATCTCAGCATACTTGTCTGGCAAAACCTCCCAATTGTATTGAGAAAACAGAGCACTTAGAGTGTATAGAATTTGCTACGTCCACTTCAATGCCTGATCAATAAATTAATACATTTGCCTCAATTTGGAAATCAAATTAATCGTTGCCGCCAGATTGCTAAGACGGGTAGGAGATTTCTTTGAATAGCCTCAGTAACGTGGTGTACTACCTAGGGGAATGTGAAACATGTAGGATTAGTGTGATATCATGAAAGGGAGAATTTACTTGTTGCCTTAACCGAGTGATGTTCAATCTCCCCTTCGAAGTCTAAGTTTCCACTAGTCTGGGCATTGATCCAAATTTATAAAATCCGACTGGACATGATAGCTCTGCCGTCACCATTCCTTATTGCTTACTTATTTATTATCCCCATGTTTTCAGTAGTTTGCATAACTGTTGGGCATAAACGGTATCGCTCTTTAATTCTGAAATCATTAAAGCTATAATGGCTTGAATTCGGTGATTTGTTTGGAGGAGAGAGCCACAAGAAATTCCTTTATGGGTATCTACAAATTATTATGTCGGCGCCGTGGGTTGGAAACCACAAAGGATACGCCCTTAAATGAATTAAATTTGGACAAATCATGAAGTCGGAATTTAAAAAGGACTCAGTATATGCTCTTTTCACTTCACGATCTCAACGTTGATGCACCCGTTCTCTAAAAAATTCATGCAATTATAAGGGTAAGTTCATCATCAACAATTTTCAATATTTAGACTATGCTAGACGTAAAATGCATTTAAATACAAATGGTAATTACGAATAATAAAGTAGGCGCCGGCCTCCTACTTTTATGTTTAAAGCTCATCCGTTGACACTCTCGTGGCTCCTTCTCGACACGAGGCGTTGACGATTGGTGGTTACTGTTCACATTACACCAGAAAGTGAAACTGAAATAGTATTTTTCGCATGAACGGACACCTTTTACTTATACTTTTACTGTGCAAAATTTGGACATCTATTTGAGCAAAGATTAATGCCACAGTATTTTCAATGAGCTGCAACTTCTTTGCGTAGTGTGTAATTAACTATTTGAAGAAAGCACAGAAAAATAAACTCCCAAGCTGTTTTAAAAAGAAAATAATGGAGAAGTAAACTAACTAATCTTGAGAAAACTAATTACTATTGGTGAACCTGTAAAAGTGAAGATGCACTCCTACTCTTGATAATATGCTATCGTATATCTAATCAATTCGGAAGTTTTAACGAGGCTTTGATTGGGAGAATTAAGGAGAATTAAGAATTGAAAAACAGTTAACTACTGAAGTAAAAGATAAGTAGAAAATTTATTTCACATGGAAATATTGAATAGTATATTTTTATAATTGGTTTTATCTCTAGTTTCTTCCGTTGGGTCAGCTTATAGCATCCCTGCATTGAATAACCTTTTGAAAGTTAATTATAGTATGTGTTATTTTGATTAAAAAACATGAAATACCATGAACTAAAAAATACTTTTGGATATAAAATAACTATTCTGAACTTACATTTCATTATAGTATTTAAATTCGAAGCTACTGAGCATTTATTAAAATCAAATATTTGTAATTTATTTAGATTGAAATAACTACCTGCTATTAGGTGGACTGAAGCCACATAACCTAAAAGGAGAAAGGAAAAGTCCGGAAACTCCTGTCACTAGATCAATTCCGAGACGATTAAAAATTTTACCCCAGACCTCTTTTGTCATGATGAGCAATCCATTTCGTCTGCTTTACTTTTCAAAAAAATAATTGAATTAATTCAAGTCACTTTCAGTAAACCAATGAATATAGGCCTTTGTTCATTTCAGATTTATTTTACCAAAAATGAATTTAAAATTATTACTATGGAAGTCCATTTGACAAATCGAACGAGAACTATCTTCAATTTTTCACTCATGGCTTTTGTAAAATAGTAAAATAATATTTAATTTTATAAATATCTCTTCTTTATAACCCAAAACTATCATAACTATAATTACTCTTTTGTATTAAGTGAGTTAAAATGGAAATAGAAGACTAAAATTTTATTTACTTTAATCAATAATTTTGTAATTACACTAATGGCAAGTTTCGTTTCTTTAAAACATTATCTAGTTGTAAGTTTTAGTTTTAGTTGGATAATAGTTTGAACTACACCTTCTGTATAAGTCTTTTAATTATTTTATTGTGGTACTGTTAAGCTATCTTGAAGGACACGCATCTTTCGATTCGTTTTTTTAAGATCGTTACTATAGCTATCGGTCGAAGCTGGCTACTAAAGGCATACATTTTAATCATCAGCTATTATAAAAAATTTACTGAATTGATTATTTTAAATTTTTTGAATTTAAATATTAATGTATTAGTTTTAAGTCTTTAAGATTAGCTTGCTTTTAAAATTTGATCACGGTTAAATATGGTATAAAGTTATGTGGGAGACGTTTGCCTATTTTAGACATGTATCAAACTGTACGTTCAACGAGAATAACCCCTGATCAAATGCAAGAAATTTCAGAAGCATTTTCTCTTTTTGACAGCGACAAAGATAATCAGCTCAATCCATCAGAATTCGAAGTAATTCTGTTAAAATTTAAAGTTTCGAAGTATTTTTTCTGAAGGCAGCTCTACTTGTTCTTGGTATTGATATCAAGCGTAAAGACTACGGAGACATTCTTAAAGGCTTTAATCTAGAGTTGGCAGAGAAAATCTCGTTCAAGGACTTTTTCGGGATCGGTTTGTTGTTTACATGGTCACTATTTATTTGTAGCTAAATTTTGTCTTGAATCTAAAGGTCCTTTTACCCGTTCTGTACGGGCTTTCAAGTCATTTGACGAGGAGTATTCGGGTAAGATCACCTTCCAAGAACTCAGAAAAGTCACCAGGTAATTATTTCTACTAATATTCTTTAGGTAGTATAGGCATTATTGATTTCAGCTGTATATTCGATTCTTGTAGTTTCCTTTAACTTACCATTTAACAAAATTTTATTATGTTCACATAATACGTAATCTTTTAGTTGATAATCGTTTGATATCCTCTAAGTGTGAGGGAATCATTCTGATTTGCTTTTTATAATTGCAGTCTAATTTATGAACTTGCTGGAAAATGCATTCGAACAGACTCTATTGTTTATTCGCTATTATAACTGAGTATGAACCACTATCTTTGGCATAACAGAATATTTATTTTAAGTTTTCGATAATTTTAAAAGTTATACTCTTGCTGGTCGTTCGTCAAAAGGGTTTTCTTTTGGCCTAATTGGTTAAAGTTATTTCAAAATGAACTCATAAGTGATTATTATCCCAAGAATGCTAAAAAGATGGCGTGCAGTTATATAATAAAAAATTCCTCATAAATTTAATTTATCCTGATTCGTCTCAATGTGTTGTGCTGGCATTCTGAACATTCCAGTTCCATCAAATCCGCGTATTAGATAAATAAAATATTAAGGAACAAACTTGTATTAGCGCTTGCATACACCACCCTAGCAGGAGTAATCAACAACATACCATTAAAACTACATTTCAAAGTCAACACTTCTAATGAGTGCCACACCGAAACTCGCTTTTAAAGAAGAAACTGAGCTTCCAAAGTATTCGATTCTACTTCTTAATTGACAATATCTCAATTCGGTGATTTTACGGGAGAGTTAGAGGCCCGACTTACCTGATATGACAAATACCCACACTATACAGCGACCAGAAACGGTTCTTTTAATTTAATCAAATACTCGTTCGAAATAAATAACGAGTTTTAAGTAATGTATATGTTTCCGAAATCTATAAGCGATCGGCAATAATCAATTAGGTCTTTCTTCTTCACTTTTAGTAATATGCAAACTTTTATCATTTATTGGATTTTTTGTCAATATTATTGATGGACAACTCCCCACAAATATAAAATCGGTTTGTCGTTAATTTACCTTGGTATTAAAAGCATAATTTGCTAATCAATTCAATGTAAATGTTAACCTTTTGGGATAAATTAGGTACATGTTATCCGTTTAACTACTTTTAAGTGAATAATTACCTGCAGTTATTTAAAAAAATCCTCGCTTTCTATATATGCACAAACACAAAGAAGCCGACTTAGTCAAAGCAACAGCCCCATGCCCCCTTCCCCCCCCCCCCTCCCCTTTCATCCACAGTACATCAGAAGTCGGTAGTATCTTTGTTCTCTGTATGTCATACTTCCGAATTCATCATATTGAG